ATATATATATATATATATATATATATATATATATATATTCATTTATTTATTTTGCCTCACTGAGATGTTTTCTGTTCTTTGGAAAATCGTATCTGTATTATTCTTGTACTTTCTTGTTGTTCTTGAAGTACTGAGCTGTTCTCTCTTCCACCTGTTGCCATGGTAAGTTCAGACTTGTACTTTCTGTTCTGCCTTACTATAACTTAATAGACCATATTTTAGACAAAAATATCAGCAGCAGTCTCTTGAGCACTGTAACTCTACAGAGTAACATTATCTCTTTGTCTGTCTGTGTGTGTCTGGATTAATGCTGTTTTGGTGGATATGCTTCAGATCTTTACTGTGTGGGTGTTTTAATCTCATCTCTTATCTATCATCGGCACTGCTAAAATTAATTCAAAACAATGTATTTTATGCAATCACCAAATTGGGTAGAAAAAAAGCAATTTGTATTAACTTTTTTTTTTTTTTTAGGTTACAGCTTTCACAAATGATTTACAGAATTATCTCTTATGCCTATAATGCAATTTAGTGTGGTAACGTAGACCTATATTTTCCATACTTGGATGCCCGTATTCCTCTTTCTGTCACCACAAAGCTGTGCGATCCTGGGATTACTTCCAGCACAGCGAGTAGATTAACATCCAATCAGTTTTATGCTTCTCTGTTACTGCTACTCATTAAACAAATGCTTAAAACTAGAGCTTAATGGAAAGTTAATCAATTCTTTTAATTAGTTATTTGTGCAAAACGGTCGATCAATTTCTTTTTCTTGATTATTTAAGTTGCACCAGTGAAGCCATGTTAGGTTTAATAATGTACATGCACATGCAGTCACACACTGCCAGACCAACAGAAAAACATCCATACTTAGCAAAGCAGATTCATTCAACAAACACAGATATGTTATTATTATGTCCTACCATCCTCATTGGAACTTTCCATTGATTTCACATTCATTTCTATGGCCTAACACAGACCCTAACCTAAGCCTAATCATTAACAATTCATACTTAACCCTAAACCTGTCCTGAACTCAAACCTGACACCTTGTTCCCTACCTTAACCCCCAAACCAAGAAGAGAAATTACACAATGTAAAAAGCTACACAAACACACACACACACACACACACACACACACACACACACACACACACACACACACACACACACACACACACACACACACACACACACACTAATTCTTGTCTCTAAACAAGCAAATACACAATCCTGAGACTTTGTGGATATTTAAAGTGGAAATGTGTATTCTAGCTAAAGTATGCTCTGAGTTACAAGCATGAAATACAAATGACTGGAATTTGGACCTATAGTGTCTGTTCCATGTAGAGTAAATACATTGAGATCATAATTATTTATTTATATTTAGCTGAGGAAGGATAGTAGTCCTAAAGGATTTAGGGATAAGGACCACCTGTTTAGCTTTATAGAGTTACCTGATTGCTAAGCTTTGTTCTTAGTCCACAAAAACATATACTGTTTTGCAATACTCCTCACATGTCTGTCTGTTCATCCACTTTTAAAAATTATATTGTGCAAATCTTGCTGACTAAAAGCCTGGCCATTTATAAGTATATATAGAATAGAATTCAACTTTATTGTCATTGCACTGTCACGAGTACAAAGCAACGAAATGTAGTTAGCGTATATCCAGATGTGCTATACAGGATAGACAAAATAAGTTGTGAAATTAAGTTGGACACTTAAGAGATCTTTGGAGATTTAAGTGTGCCAATTATAAAATTGTATAAGGCAAATGTGTCACTATTGTGATTGAAACCAAAAAATGCGTCATAGAAATGAAAAACAATGTCAAAATCTTTAGTACCATGAATGCCAAAATATGCATTTAAAATGATTATATATGTAAATAAAACTCCTACAACCGATGTAGTCAACATGAGAGCAGTTTAATAGTTTATAGAGATTTATTATTTGTCATGAAAGCATTTCATGAAGCATGTGGGCCAGTATATGTTCAAGATGCCACTCGAGTTCATGATGCAGCTCTGTGATTCACTCTGGCTCTCTTCTGCTTGGCTAAACACAGACCTTCTCCTCCCCCTTTCATCAGGCCTGACTCATCGTGACTTGCTTCAAGATTCCTCAAAATGATATATATTTTTCAAAGAAGGTCAGATATTATTTATTGAATATATCAAACTGGACTTAAAGTATCCACAGGATAAAATGCTATGCTGCAATTGTCTGGCCTCCAACTGACTGTGTTCTTTTTTTTTTTTACATAACCCATAAAGTGATGCCACCTTTTCTCTTTCATCAGCAGAATTTCTGTCACGCTGCACATCAGAGGACCTGCACTAATAAATCTAAAAGCCACCGCTTAATGGTTTCTGTGTCCATCTGAATGTTGGAGGTGAATACAAGGTGAAATGGCTGATGTGTTCTACTACAGTGATTTTCTGTAATTCAAGCTGCACTTACTATTTGCAAAAGGTTATGAATCAAGTCTCTCAATGAGAGCAAAAAGAAAAACAAAAACTTATTCCTTTCACAAAGCTCAGTAAATACCTTCCTATCTTTCAGCGCTTAAAACATGTGGTGAAAATATTGAACATGTTACAAAACCTTTCTGAAATCTCAGCTCTATATTAAAAGATGAAGGTGCAGTAGTGTGGGGCGAATTCTCCTCTTCTGCAGTCTGTTAATGCCACGCTGCTCTCCTTAATGTAGCTTAGATATGTGTGGGATTTTCTTTCCGCTTGAATAATCTTCTTTCTCCCTCTTTGTCCTGTCATCTTTTGGCGGTTTTGTGAAGTAAGGCTTAGAGCGGCTGTGCAGACACAGGCTGCTTCTGCTGATGCTGTTTGATTATCTTTGTTTGCTTTTGACCTCAAACCACAAATAATGAAGCCAGGATGTCCAGGAGATGTTTGCTGAGAAGGAGAGGAAGATGGCATCTGCTGAAACAAGCAGTTTGTTGAAGATCCTGTATATTAATCCCTAATTTGAATGACCTTGTATTCAACATTTCTTATAAGATTTGCCTTTCAACACAAAGAGAGATTAAACTTTCAAAACAAGATTTGCAAGCCATCATGTTCTGGTTTTGTCCATTCTCACTGCAGTATTACAAGCTGGTGAACTTAAAGTGTCTTGGTGCAACAGAAATATTTACAGATCTTCACAGAGCCTCATCTTTAAATGTGTTTAAACACCTGAAGTATTTGATAGATCTCAGATCCTAGCAAACTCTAGAGCTGTCTTATGTTTTGCATTTGTTCCAACTGGGATCTGGAAAACCCTCTGCTAAATATTACAAAAATGAACCAAATACCTTAATACTAAAACCTAGAAACATTGCATGCTTGATTATAGCTGCAAGGGATGCCATACAGTAAACAAAATAATCATAAAAAATGGCTTATATTCTTTATATAACTAAAGCACCAACTATAAAGACCTCTGCTCAGTAATTTAGCATACTTTTCAGATCATTTTACATGAAAAGGTACCAATAAACAAACTAATAGTAATATGACCAAGTCCTCTGTTTTCAGCAAACTCAGAACACCATGTGCTCCCTGAACAATTACAAAAAACACCATGAATTTCACATGTGAAAAACACATGCAAAACATATGTACCATGCAAATTTCACATGTGGATTTGAAACATTTTATGTTAAAGGCACATGTGAATCATGTTTTACAGCTAAATCCCACGATTTGGCATGTGAGTCCAATGTGTTTCACATAAGAAAAATGTGTGTTTCACATGTGAAAGGACAAGGACACAACGGTATTGAAAGGTGGAGCTTGACCGATGATTTTTAATTTCAAGGGAAAACTTGCATCCAACATCACTTCTGCTCATTTTTATTGACTGCAGTGGAGATCAGTAAGCTATCTGAAAAATAAAATATGTAGAGAAAGAGCAAGGATCACTATATTGTTTACTGCAAATCAAATTGGAGCATTATTAATGTTAGTGGAATTCCCATTTGCTTTGTTTGTGTAGGATTCTCAGTAAAAAGGATAGATAAATAAAACTGCATAACTGGATGAGATGGCAGGTTGGTGTTAGTGTTTGCTTTTCAAACTACTTATTCCATTTCTAAAAATTTTTATGTTTAATTAATGTACATCATAACATATTTACAAAGAAACATTATTTCAAAACAATACGCTGTTAAATATACATACTTAGAAAATATTTTACAGTTTGACAAATGTACAAAGGGTTCTGTGGGACTTCAACGCCATGTGACACCTGGACATGCATGATCGTGCTAAAAGGATTTGGTCTTTAAAACGTGCTAAATAGCGCCTCTGATCCATTTAGTACTTTTTCTGCAATGAATA